CATATATTTAAAAATCAAACTAATACTCACGCACTTGTTCCCACTCGGTAACTTACCTATCACACTTGTACTTGTTGTTGCCATCTAAAACCTCAGGCTGAAAGAACTTTTGCATGCAGTCTTGAAGCGAGTTACTATGGAAAACATCAAGACTGATATCCATTATCTCATCAACCTTATTCGACTCATATCCACAGCACAGACACTTCACCTGACTCTGCAAGGCGCCACCGAAAATCTGCTTTACCACCGTACTCCCGCCACCGTCTCCGCCGCCTCCATTAGCGTCTCCGCCTTTGCGGTGGAGCTTCTTGAGGCGGAGGCAGGTATTGTGGCAGGCGTCGATTACGTACCGGAGGAACTCGTGCGCGTCTTCCTGGCGGCCACAGCGGAAGTGCTCAGCAAAGATCCGTATACAGCTCTGGATCTTGGAAGGCGCGTCGTGCGAGAGATCCAATTTTAGTGAACGCGCAATCTGCTTCTCCAGTATGCAGAACGGACACGTAGACGCAGAGAAATCACCTGAATTGAAATTCGAAACGGAACACGAAAATTAGGCCAAGGCGCAGAAATTAAACTAAAATTGAAAGAATAACGAGAATTGAAGAGCCGGTTACAGAGAGAAGAGTGTTGGAGAGTGAGACAGAAATTGGCGAGAGGAGGAGTGTATGTGAGGCACTGGAGGACGCTGTTGAGGTAGCACGAGTTGCCCAGGTTACGGAGCCCTATAGGAGGACCGGTTTTGCGTTTCTGACTCAGGAGACTCGGCTGCCAAGTCATCTGCAGGTCCATCAACGACGCCGTCCGCCGCCGCAACGAACCGCTGCATTGGCCGTCGATCGGGGACTCAACAACCCTGACCACCGCCGCCGCCACCGTAATCGCATATCTCTCGTCGCGGGGTTCGGTTGAGTTTTCGTTTCCCTCTCTTGGGTTGTTAGCTGTTTTATTTTTCGTTTTTCTTTAATTCTTCTAGCGACTTCTTTGGTACCGAGAAAATAATATTGCGGAAAAGAAATTATTGTTTGCGAGTGAATAGTGAGAACTAAGCCATGCTTGCTGGTTGTATTGTAGTGAGTGGCACACAAGAAATGAACGAATGGGAAATTCTTAAGTTTTTTTTTTAAGTTGCTTTAAGTTTGATTTTTCATATATTTAAAAAT